TTTCTACATGACCATGTGTATAGAGCTCAAATATAAAATTCTGAATTTATTTTATCTAGCTACATTTTTAAGTCTTATAATTAAACTTTAAATCCTGTATTTTTAAGAACCAGAACAGTAACATCAGCAATTTATTCCACAAGCTTTTAATATTTAAAGTACAATAAAACACTTGATTAAAATATAAACACTACCAGCACTAAGGGCTAGAGAGATTTGCTCTGCCACTGAGTAGAAGTATTTCTTACATATCACAAATAAGCATGGCTGTTAACCATGTAAGCAAGCACTCACTGGCTTTTGAGAGTGACAGGACCTGTCAGACCAGAACAGATGGCTGCTTTAGCTATGTAGTTTGCTGTCCAAAGGCAATTACTGACTAGTCCATAGGAAAGCACAAAAGCCGTGGAACAGGCAATAACTAAATAATTTCCTCAAATCAAAATTCTTTGTTAGTCTAATTGGTGTTTGGTTCATTTCCTAAAGCAAAGAGCTTATTGGTGTGGAGCTGGGAAGGGGAAAATGATGGCATCCCATTAAAGTGTGCACAGCAATTCCCATTTATAAGCCTGTTGAATTCTACTGGTTTGGCCCTTAGTTTTACAGTATTTAAAAAAAAAGATCTCCAATTTCTGCACTGTTTTGAGGGAATATGGCTATCTAACCTAACCTCCACTTTTATTCAATATTTTGAATATTGTTAGTTACATTCTTAACAACAGAAGTTGTAAGAAACAATTCTAGGATCAAAGAGGTATATTCATAATTATTATAAATGATAAAATTATTACTGGGCATATCACAAACTTTCCAGAACTCCTGAACTCAAAGTTTAAATTTTCAAAACCAATTGTCAGTTTGAAACCTATATAAACAAGCTATAGCTTATATACAGTAAGAATATCAAAGGTCTTGCCATCCTATTAGCTTGGATGTTTGTGTAACTCCCCCTCTGCAAAGGTTTCAAGAAGAAAGTTACAAGTGTTTCTGCTAGCAATCTCTTCTGCTCTGTGTACTATTCTGTTTTGATTTTTAAGAAGGAGACAAGAGCATTCCCAAAACAGCATTAAATCAAGTTTCAATCAGCAACACAGGTCGAAGGATACCACACGTAGCAGTACCAATGACACTACTTACTGCAGGTTTCAGAGGAAAAAGGAAGTTCTTGGACACTTTTCCACACTGTGACAAGAGTAAAGGAGATCTGCTTCTGATGTATTCAAACTCAACCTCTTCCACTTCGAGTATTACAGACAGCTCTTACTGTTGCACATTCTCTCACACACACGGCTAATTCTTAAGGTGCTACTTGATTCATTAATGAATCAAAATGTCTCAGTCTGAAGAAGTGCAGCTTTTCAGTGTCTGCATGCTCCAAGAACGTTTCAGCTGCATCTGTGCACAGCTTAATTTACCTTGGTCTTGCTAACAGATCAGAAGATCGCAGAACAGTGTACTAGCATGCCTAATACTATTAATCTCCTACACCAAACACAGATAATTATGCTCATATCCAAAACTTGAATTTTGTTTATTGATTACCAGGAACTGCAGCATTACATACATATGATGATGTAGAAAGTCTCAGTCTTATCATCGTATCAATATGAATCAATAAAAGTGGAGTTGGAAAGTCCTTTTTGGTGTTCTGTATTACTCTCTATTTGGTGTACTCTTTTCTCTTTTCTACATTTGGCTAAATAATCTTGTCACCAGTTCCACAAAATTTTCAGGTTTCCTCTGGTCTTCTACCTCTTTTACCCCAACTTTGTTCCTTGTTGCTTAATATACTGTATTCCTAATTATATATTACTGGCTATTACTAATTGCTATGTTATATAACTGGATTTTTCTGCCTTTTTTGTAGGTCATTTTTTTCTCCTAGTAAAACAAATAAAATGAGCCTCCTGATACTTTGAGGCTTCAATGTGTGTCAGCTAGTTACCAGTCTCTGTTTTACCTTTGTTCTTAAAGAAAGCAACCATTTTTCACTCCTACATAAATCCAGCCCTCTTCAGTTTGGTACTGAACACTTTTAATTACTTATACCCTTTTCTAGTGGCTAATATGGCCTAAGTTGATGGAATTCTCTCTCGATTCTACATTTATTTCACATTGATTGCAAACAATTCTAGACTTCCACATACAAGAAATATCTTCTCTCATTTTTCTCAGTAGCAACAAAGCTTTTCAAATCTCCCTAGTCAATCCACTGGGTACATTCCAGTCATGGGAACAAGGAAAGAGGTACAGCATGATTCCTTGTACCCTCTGTCTTATATCTTATTTAGTACATATCTGCTAGTACTCAATATTAAGAAACAGTTGTTCCAATACCAGAAATACTTTACCTAATCCTTAATGCCCATACTGATTTTCCTCTCACGTCTCCTTAGTTGTTAATATGTTTATATGAAAATCAAATGTGTTGCTTGCTTTCCTTATGTCTATGCTGAAACCATACTTAAGTAAAATCAACATTCAAGGAAATAACTCTTATATGCAATATATTACCTGCCAAACTCATTTATACAAAATATAATGCAGAATACTTAGTTTTAAAAAAGTAATGAGGCATATATATAAATACTAAAAATGCAATCTGCAATTTTATCAATCATGAGGAAAAAAGAAAGAGAAAATCAATTTCATATTTCAGCAGCTTCTACGAATGTATGTCTAGAAGTAAATTTTTGCCTCAAGTTTCTCAGTGTATGACTATGAACCAAGAAATGAATGCACCTTCCTCTAAAGCCTCTAGTACTGACTTCCAAAGGTAGAACCAAACTAGAGAGGTATAATACAGGATGCTTATTTTAATATTTTAACATTTAATGTTAGCTCCTACTTTTATCACTTTTGCTTTCTCAGCAATGAAGAATATTTTTTCTTAGCTTAAAACTTATGGTTGCTGTAGACCTCCATTTAAAGAAATAGAACAGAAAGGTGAAAGCAAATTCCATGTGCTAGCTTTCCTGAATGTCACTTAATGCCTACTTAATGACATTTTTCTCAGGCATGGCACGCTTGACTGTCAGCTCGTGCCAGTTAACAGATTTAAAAAATAAAAGTCACTGCAATACTATACAGAACATAAGTTTTTAGTCAGCATTTGACATATGTGCTTCAGTTCATGATTCCAGAAAAATTTCTGTAGAAACCAGGTAGACAAATTGTACTTACTAATTTTCTGTCTCTTGATAATATAAATACTTAATTAAGGGGATTTTAAGCAGTGGTAATAAAAAAGTGAAGATGGGAACTCTCATATGGCTTTAAAAACTACATAGTTTTAAGAATGCATTTGAAATTAATACCTATATATATGTGTCTAGTTCCACAAGTTCATTGATAGAGTAAATAGCTCATTTCCAAATACTGAAACTACACTTTGCCAGAAGAGTAAATTAACTGTTTATTTCTGGAGACAATTTGTTTCATGTGTGCAATAAATAAATCACCATATTCATAAAATAATTCCATTTATAATTTTCCTCTTTAATACATTTCAATAATAGTGAAGGTAAAATTATAATAAAAAATATAAAAGAGGTAGAGTGAGGCCCAATAATATGTTGTAGGTGAAATGGAAAAACAAGGGTAGGAAATGTTTCCTTACCCAGCTCATTCACATGAGAGCCCATTTATTCTCTTTACTCCATACGAGTCCTACTGCTGACTCAAATTTCAGTCAAGCATTGAGGGAGCAGGAAAATTAGCAGAATAAGTCTGGTTACACATACAATACATAAAGTTATATTTTTGTGGTACATACAATCATAACACTTAGGAGAAGGTCTGATCACAGTATCATGCTCCTCTAAAAGGCAACACCTTTCAAAGCCAACAATATAGACATAAATAGTTTTGCCATTTGTCAACATAAAGAAGCATCTAAACATGACAATATACCAAGTTCCTCCTACATGTGAATAAAAATTCCTATGCTTTCTGCAGTAAAAACTCCATTTTTAAAATAACCAAATAATCATGCAGCACATCTACAGAAGAATTTTAAGCCATTTTCACAGTTTTCTTTTTGTTTTGTCAATTCTGTTTTTATTAATAAGATTTTTCCATTTTGTCGCAGGCTTTGCTAAAGCTCTCTATTTTCCCACACTGAAACACATACTGGAAAATAATTATATCAAATGTATTATTCTACATTATCTGCAAAACTAATAATACTTAATTAATTTTATTATTTGTCTTCAAATATTAAATGGCTCATTTTACAGTAACTTTGCCAATCCTTTGAGCAAAGAACTGCATCCTGGAAATAAAAATCTAAACCAGACCTCTTCCTCGCCAGCTTTTATAGGTCAGAAATCTCGTGTTTTCCACTTACAATCTGACCTCAATTAATGAAGCCTTTTAGAGGACACTAGATTATTTTTGTATAATAGGAGTTTAAATTGATAATGTCTTGATTTTTTTAATTAATACACTCTATATGACATGACCCAGTTCCAGATAGCAGGAAATTTTGGGTATTTTAGGCTATACTACTATGTAACAATTTAAATTTTTGGCAAACTGCTTTTGGAAGCTTTTAATGTATAAAATAACTTTGCAAGAGCTAAACTGCCACTATTAAATTAAGTAACACTACATCTTCCAGCTTTCAATAGATCAAGATAACCCTGTGTTCAACTATATGAAAGCCGTGAGCATGTTTCAATAGCTCTCATTCCATCTGTCACTCAATAAACATCTGTCACTCAATAAAGCTCTTTTTTCCTTCTCTTTTGAGTTTTTAAATCACGGCCCTATTGTTCATTTCAATGGATAATTACAGTATCACTTATTTGTTTTAGCTTATCCTTCTTAAATTGTAATAATTATGTTAATGGGTTTCTGCACATTTCCAATAATTTTATTATAGACACAGAAGAAATGCAGGGAAGAAACAACCTCCCCTTCATGTATTACTTTTTAAAAGGGCATTGGATATTGCAGTTTAACATATTTTGTTTCTTTTCAAAACAAAACTCCCTTGCCTTAGAGTGATAATCTTGTTCCAGCCTGGAATCTGATCCTGCTACCTGTTTGTACTTGCTCATTTTCATTTGGCGATTCCTCTCTTCCACATCCATTGCACCTGTTAAGTAAAAGAAAAAAATAAAATAAAATAAATACACAAGAAGTTCTCAATTCCAAGTTTCAAGTTATACTCATGGAAGTTTTAACAGAAAGAAATGAAATCTGATTTACTTAAATTACAGTATATAATTTGTTTTTGAAGGATAATTTTGCAGGAAACCAGAATGTTGTAGGAGGATGAAAATAGTAGTTAAGTAAGTAAGTGTTGCATTATCTACCCAATTCAAATGAAACCAACTTTGTGGAAGAAATGAATGTAAATGGAACACATTGTTTACACAAATAGAATTTTAGTATTTCAAAAGTATTCAAGAGAAACTGGGTTTTCAATTTAAAAAAATTAAAAAGGAATATAAAGGCAGCCTGTTTATTTTGAGTGTACTTTGAGTGGAGATCCTGGTTCTACATTTGTTGTAATGTGACATACCAGATTACTAATCAGGTAACAATCACAGGTTAGCAGACCTTACATTTACTATTTCAGCATATTCCTAGTATGCTCAAATTTTAAAGATGTATAAAGGAATGTTAAAGAGCCACCCAGTGGCATCACTGTACTACATTTCAATGACACACAGCTTCAAGAACGAATTCAGGATTCACTCTTCTTGAACCAAAAACGTATCAGTGTCGTTTAGGAATGGGTTCTCACTACATGGCTTAAGCACCAGCTGTTTTTAAGCAACTGCTACTGTAACACCACAGTTAACTAGGTAAAAAAATAACAAAGTGCGTGCCAAAGTTGAAGTGGAAGTGTGAGAAACAGGAAGATAGAAGGAGGACAACGGTCCAGAATTTAAATGAAAATATTTTTTCAAACAAAATATAGTTATCTATTATACACACACAGGCTTGATTCTCTTCCACTTTAACATGGTATAAATCAAGAGTTATTCATTATCCAGTGAATGCTAAAAAGCATTCATTTTGACTCATATTTGTCTTAAACTTTCCATAATTTTAACACAAAAGTTGTCTGGGATTAAAATTTCAGAATCCCACTACTCATAAATGTACATTATATGTATTGAACAATTTGGACTTTATTTATAGAACTGAGATTGAAATATTCGATTCCAGTTTACTACATAAATCTGATTTAAACTCTAAACCTCAGTTCCAATTTGTAATCTAATATTAAAGTTAGGGCTTTGCACAGTGCCTTTGAGCTTTGTATTTTCTTTCTTAACAACAGTAATAGTAGTAGTACATATTATGAGACCTGCCAGCTAAATCTTGTGGCACTTCATAGGAAACCTGTAAGGAAGGGGTGAAAGGAAGAGGGAATGCAATAAGGCTAAAGTGTACTTTTATCTATAAGCACTCTGGCTTCTGATTTTTCCGTCTTTAGTCCCTACAAACAACTTGAATGGAAAGACTTCATGAAAAGTTCCAAAGGAAACGAAAAATCAAGGAAAAAGAATGAAAAAGCATAAATGGTATTTTATAGAGAAAAGCAAAATGAGAAAAAGACAGCAGCAGATGAAAATTCCTAAAATAAAAACCAGTTAGTTTTTCCTATCACAATTTTCCTTAACCATTATTGGCCTTAAAGCAGTATTTCCCAGATTATCATTAAGATGCAGTGTGGATTTATTTTCATTTTTTTTTTTTAGGATTGAGTTTTAAAAGCTCTATTTTTTTTTTTTCTGGAAAGTAAAGACTTTAAATTGGAAAAATATCTTTTTTCTTTGTTTTTTTTTTTTTCCCAGTGGCAGAAGTAATATATAAGGTTTTTTTTAAGTAAAATGCTGTAACTTTTGTTCAAAGAAAGAAACCATCTTTTGCTGAAATCATAACATTCTGCAAATCTACTTGTCATTTTTCAGTAGCATAACAAAGGAGATATTTTTCACTAAAAGGGAGATTTTGACAAGTTTTCTTATGAAGTTTTCTTATGAAGTCATCACATATGTTTTTTGTCCCCATTCTGCCAAATTTCAGAAAATTACAAGAAGTGATAAAATAAGTCCTCTTGAGCATAAAATAGAAATTTCACAATTACTTGTGAAAGTACTCATTCTTATGCATGATCAGTTAGCAAAGTGAAGGTTGGGTTTCCACAAATCCAAATGCCTATGACTGGCAAAACCAAGCACTCTGAAATATGCCATTGAAAATGTGGGTATAACATGTAAGCCCTTGGTGTGAGTCCTCTGTAGCAAAATAAGATTGGTGGCTCATTTTAGCCTGAAGAGAAAAACAAGACAGCAAAATTTATAAAAAAAATATATAAATTCAATTCCTACTAAATTATTTAAAGATCTAACTTGCTATGTATTTTTGAAACTGCCTTCAACAAGTGAATGAATTCAGTTATATGCAAAAATGGGGCAGTGCAAAGTTTATTATGCAGAAGATCAGCTTTGGTTCTACTATGCATGGAACTGACATGCAGAAAGACCGTGCAGGGTTACGGGCTGCCCCAGGCTAATCTTGGTGTAACAAGCCAGATGCAGCCATGATCTGGATGGGAATAAAAAAGGTTGAGTGTGTCACGGCACTTCCCATTCACATGGTCCACATGCATGCATATAGCACTAAGTGGTGGAAATGTAGGGCTATTGTCCTCCCCACTTCTGCTGTCAAATCTGTACTTAACTGAAACCTGTATGTGGGAGCTTAGCATGAGCAGAAGGTACTTCCAGACAGTCCAGTAGCTGTTCCAGTAGCACTAGGAAGCTTCAGCTCCTAACATGATTTTGATAACCAAGGCTAAACATCAGTCCTGTATTAAGGACTCTAATCAGGAGGTGCTTATGGAGTGTGTGTTGGCAAATTGGAACTAACTTGAATCTAGATAATAGTGCTGACACTGTAGGAGCATAAGCTTTTGTACTGGTAGCTTAAGGTTGTCTCAGCCCTTGTTTTACTGAAGTCCTTAGACAGAGCACAGCACAACACATTTTCAGGACTATAGAGACACTAGGAAAAATAAAGCTACTTATGATATACTTCCATGTAATGCCACAATGTACTGAAGTGTATGCAACCAAATTCTGGCCAGGCAAAAGTGAGTTATTCAAACTTCAGCCATAAGAAGACAAAAAATTAAGAAAGACTGACGGAAGAACAAAATCTGGTGTTGCTCACCAAACACAACTGGGATCATTGCACTGTAGGCAACATCTTGGGAGTTTGGCCTATTTTGAACAACTCTCCAACATTAAAAACCCCATGGCTAGAAGGTTAGCTCAGTGGGGTTTTCATTAGCACAGGGAAATTCTTTCCTGACAAATAACTAGCTGCTCTTTCAATATGAGCCATTCACCATATTTTCAGAGGAAAGTGTGCTGAAGGAAAGCAGCACAACTACAGTCCTCAAGTGTGAGAGAAAGGTTCCAAAGTACTGTGCACAGCAACCCTGTAACCTGCCCTCAGATTCACAAGGATGGCAGTGAGGGACTGATTTCTGCCAGAGCTTAGCACTAGTGACTGAAGTAGGTTAAGCCTTAGGCCACATGAATTGGACTTTAACCTTTGGTTTTGTCTAAGGAAATGTAACCAGTTGATAAAAAGTGTAAGCAAAACTTTAACTACAGGATATTCTGTAAGAAAAGATAAAATGTCTCAAGACAGACAAAAAGGGAGCCTGGCAGCTGCAGGAGCATATCAGAAGGCAAGACCCCAGATGCTGTAAACTACATGTTTCTTGCTAAAAATTTTAAGGGACTTTCATTCTTTCTTTCTTTGCCTTCTCCATTGAGAATTATTGAACTGTTCTAGCTTTTGTAGATGTTGGTGATGCCGTTGTATTTGGAGAAGGAGTTTGCTGTACAGTGGGGCTTCTGGGACACAGAGAGTAAAAGGAAAATCTAGGGTTTGGAAGTAGAGTGGAGTAAATTAAAATATTTGTGCAGATTTAGTTTTGGATAGGCATGGAGAACAGGGATACAAAATTTGGAAGCACAGCAGCTCAGGCATGGGGGAAAACTAGTCATGAGTGGACTATAGAAACACAGAGATTTTGGAAGTCAGGAATCTGTAATAGAAAATAAAAAGGCAAAGTGAAGGTGAGAGCAAGATGCCTGGAGTGGGGAGGACAGAACAGCAGTCTTAAGCTGCACAATAGCCTTCTTTAGCTGCTTCTGGTCTCTTCCCATTTCTCACCCTAAGTTGACTCCCTTGATAAAACAAAGGAAATACATTTGGAAAAGCCCTTTCTCAGTTCCTATTTCCTATTGTCTCTTTTGAAATCCCCCAAATACATCAAAATTGTGATCCACTCTACAGTACACATCTGCTTAAATGTAATAGATCAAAGAACTTAAGGGCAAAAACATAAAAATATTTTTAATGTTACCCTACCTGTATCCCCATTCTCTGGATCTGCTTTCTTTTCTTCTATAAACAAATGAAAGCGATACATAAAAAAAAAAACAACAAAAAACAGAGGGAGAGAGAAAATGCAGAAATAATAATAAAAGTAATATAAATCATGAACTAAAAAGGAAAAAAGAATAAAACCCACCAAATTAATTTAATTTGATGAGTTTAGTCAACCAACCAAGTATGGTGCTCCACATCCAGAGGCATATTCACTGCATGCTAGTGTATACATTTGTGCACTCTTAGTGAAGACTTACTGGAGGGAACCCATGGGTATTTTGAGCACTTCCAGAATCATTAATACACTCAAACACAAAAGAGAGCAAGACAGGTGTCAGACATAGTTACATTACAGCTTCCTTGAATAGGATGACATAAAAATAAAAGTAAAAAACTCACTTGTGCTGTATATTTTATGCAGTGCACACACAAATTGCAGTCTAATGGTTCAAGCATAAAAATTAATTGGCTTTGGTTTTCAGTAATTACTTTAAATCCTCATTGGTTTAATCAGTTCTCATAGCTTCTACAGGTCACAAGGTTTAATGATGATGTTACTGTATCTTGTCTTAAGAGTTAAAAAATTACGAAGAACAAAAGACACTAAGAGCAACACTCAGAACCCAGTTTATGTACAAAAATCCAGCTGACTGATGCCAACAAATATTCTGAATGCATATCAAAGGTTGCAAATGGCTCAGGGCATTCCTCTGTCACAAAGAAATGAAAATACACTGGATCCCTATCAAATAGTTTGGCAGCCCATAAATACTGCACTCTGAAATCCAAGTTTGGTAAGTAATGTGAAAGAATTTTAAGTCAAATGAAATTTACTTTAATTAGAAATACATTATCTTTTAAATAGACTGCTTCTTTTTCTTAGTGTAAGTCAAAATTAAATTAAATTAAAATGATCCCATGAATATGGAGCAACAACCCCCAAGCTACAAACCAAAAATAGCATGCATATTAGAATGAAATATTTTTCCAGATTTATTGGTTGTTAAGGGTTGGTCTGAAATTATAATCGCCTTTATAGTACACAGAGCTGTTATATTTTAAGGAAATACCATTTTGTAGATGGTTATCAAAGCAGGAGATGAAGTCATACTTAAAAGAAATCATACCGGGGCAAGGTAGAGGTGTAAGAAACAAAAGCATGCTTCTGCAGAGAGCATAAATAACGTGCCACACTTTGATAGGATCTGGCACCCCCTCCTGTGTGGAATCAGGTTGTTCTGATGGCAATTCTTAGTGGAATTGTTACGCAAATTAATGGGAAACAGATAAGGCAAGTCATAAGCCCATCAGTGGATACCAAGTGGGTCCCTGAAACCTCTACCATTCCCCAACCTTTTTTGCCACATATTGTACAGAGTTTATAAATAAAGCCTTTTGTATTCTTTTGCTTTGGCCTTTTAGTAGCCTGGCCTATATTGTCTATGTGGGTTGTGGATACTGCTAGGAAAGTAGCAGAAAAAGAGAGATAATTGTGTTTGCTTTTCAAGCATTCAATTGTTACTTTTTTAAATTGCTGTCACCAGTGTAAAAGCTACACATACAAAATGTCTTCTACTACATCACTACTTTACAAAGCAGAAAGCAATTTGATAGCAATACCACTGATTCAACATAATGCAAAATAGATGAAAGGGAAGTAAGAGTCACTAAAATACTTTGAACTCAGACAGAATAATGACATTTTTAAGTTATTTCATTTGAAAGGGAAAAGAAATCTTTACTGTGCCTGGAATATCATCTTAATAAATAAACCTAATACTATATAGGATAATGCATTTTTAAAATGCCCAGAAGTCCATTCATCCATATGTTTGAATGTCTTCCAACCACGAGTCTTTAAATAGAGACCCTGTCAAAATGAGGAAAACTTGAAACCTGTCAGACTTTCATTTGTTCTAGCTCTGTATTTTAAAAGTATATAGAAAAATATTTCCAAATTGACTTAGAGAAAAGAATACAATAGGATGAGGAAGCATAAAATTCTATTAGATTCTTCAATTTTTAAAGTGTAATTGAAGAGCTGTGAAATTTATTACAAATCTCTACATTAAATAAGTCCTCTGGATTTTTACAAGAATGGTCAGCACAGTGGATCTTACTCTCCAAACTAAGCTTTCAGTTGTATCACGAAGAGCTGTCTGAAGACATACTCGAAAGAACAGAATAAACTGAGAAAGATCTCACTTGGGTGAGAAGAGCAGAACTGAACAATACTGGTATTTCCAACTGACCAAATAAAACAATGCTAAATTCCCAACAGCAAAGATCTTCACAGCAGCTATTGGCCACAGCAGGTTCAGAATGTTGATGCTGAAGTAATTAATGCTTTTGGCTCCCCAGTTATTAGGTGGTCAAATCAAAAAGCTATAAAGAGCATTAATGTCTTAAAAATTCTAAAATCCAATAAATCACTATGAGATTATTTCAAAATGTCTCAAACTGAATAATATAAGTCATTCCTAAAAATGTGTCTATTTCTATTTACATGATTTCTTCAACATCATCACATTACTCAGCAATTTTCTACATCACTTCAACTAACTTTGGTTTACAAAGTGAAAAGCATATACTGTAGCCTCTGGTGTAGTTATGTCAATTTAAGAAGTAAAGTTTTTTCAGAAATGAATAATTGGGAGGAAAAAAAAATTGATGCTTTGACCAGTGAGACATTTCTGTACATTACAAAGAATAACTGCATGTTTCCAGCTTACTCAGAATACAGGCATGTTGAAGTATAATGATGAAACATAGAGATGAGCTATAGGGAAAGAGAAATTGAAATGCTGAAAGATCCTCTCTCAAAACCTTCTTCCACCATCACAGTTGGCATTGCTATTATAATGACCTGTATGTCATTGACATGTAAAATAGTAGACATGTAAAATTGACATGTAAAATAGTAGACACAGCCATGTTCCCATAGTCTTGTAATGATCCAGTCTTTCTAAGAGGTATTAATATATTGAATAGGTATCTAATAATCTAACATGTATCTGGAAGATAAAATGAACAAAAAAAGAATTCTAATCAAGAGGCTCATACAAGAGCAGACTTAACAATAACCAAAACTGATCTAAAATGGCCTTGATCAGCTATATTTTCTTGGAAATGCTTAACTCAATGAGCTCTGCTATTCTGTTGGGAACCTGGAGGTTGCCACAGCCAAAGCACCCCGGCAGGCTTCACCCACCACACTGAAAGAAGTCCCATGGAGCAGAAACCCCAAGTGCCTGGAAGCAGAACATGACAATCTCCAAATATGTCCAAATAGAATAATATTTCCAGAGAAGAATCAGGATAGCAGACTTCTCCCTAGACACGGGATACTGATGTGGAAGTGTTGAAGTTAATAAAAAATTACTGCCTTCCTTGGGAGAAGAAGAGGGAGACTCAAGGTTACAACTGGGACTTGGGTACTGGGCTTAATAGTATTCCTCCCAGGGTTTTAAAATCAGCAATGTAACTAGCAATTAAATTAAATAAATTGTACTTAGAGAGTGGATAAATTAGCTTAAGAGCTTCTTGAAAATTGAGTCTGATTTTTCAAAGTAGTGAATATTATTAAATAACATTCAATTTTAAAAATCAAATATATACAAGGAACCCTAATTTTGGTAAGTACTTTGAAAAATGCTAGTCAAATTTCTTACTTGAGATTCCTCTTGAAATGTTATTTATGAGAATACATCCTAAAAGCAAAATCTTAAAGTATTTGCTACGAACATCAAAACTTGTCAGTTAAAGGTCTTGCACTTGAAGGATTACATTTCCTCCTATTTCCAGAGCCACTGAATTTCAACTCTACCTCTAAGGAACCAGCTCTAAAGTTTGTCATTCTGGCTGTCTATAGTGTGAAAAATACAACTGCCTGCTACGGGTCTAGCAAAATATATTGATGTGTGATACAAATGGCTGCTGAATCTTGCTACAGGTCTTTAAGTCCAATGTGTGGCAAATACAAAAGTTATTGTTGCAGCAAGCATTTCCAAGAAGTCTGTGATACACATCACAGTCTGAATGAAAAGAAACCTACAGAAATGTGGAACAAGAACAAAATCAGAAGGTTGCTGAAATGGTTTTATATTACTGTTTAAATGAGACTGAAGTGTAAATACACTGTCCTTAAAAGGGAATGCTAGAATGAAGACAATTTCAGTTAGCCAGCTCCCTAGTGGGGGAGCATGCCTTTGCATTTCTGTTTCCTATTTGAGAATTGCTTGATGGTTTTGTGGTTTTTGTTTTTTTTTTTATCTTGGCTTCAAACTTGACACACTAAACAAAGACTGAAACCCAGGGGGCATTTCTCACCAATTAAATAATTTTTTATCAAAATGCTTAAACAATGTTAACAATGTTACTTTGGATTATTTGCATAATACATGGCACTGCTTAGTAAAAAAAATGATTAAGATGGTGATTTAAGCTAGAAAGTCAAAGAAGCTCTAGAATCACGGGTTCATAAATTGACAGGGTCAACTCAGGTCTTCATCACTACTGACAGATCAGTGCAGCTGGTAAAGGACAAAGGTCTACTGAAGCAAACTCAGAAGTTCTATTTTATGTGTTTACAGAAGTAAGTATTAGGGATATGAACACCTTTTTTCTATGGTGTCTGGATCCTTTTACGAAGTTATTTTTGCACGGTACTCTGCGATGCTTGTCTTTGCTGCCTCATACAACAGTGTGCATACATTTTGGTGACCTTTGAAAAATACTGAGCATCCACATGGAAAAAGGAAGAAAAAGAAGCAGTGAGGTGGACATTGGCTGGAACACCCCATTTCACTTCTCAAAAAGATTCTGGCACATCCTCTCTATATGAATGGTATGCAATAATATTTTTAAAATGTTAAAGAAAAATAGCTGAGGGGTCAGTGGGCCCTTACATTCTCTACTCAGAAAAATCCATTCAGATCAGCCATGCTATAAACTCTGCACTGTCTTCATGAAAGCCTGAGCACAGTCTTATTGTTAAGCTCCCAAACATTCTGTTTGCCAAGCATGCGAACTCCTCAAGAGTTAATACCACTGGTATACTCCACAGTATAACCACAGGATATTTCAAATTCTGATACAGCCACTACAAAACATAGGCACAAACACTTGATGATAACTATGGCTCTGTTTCCAGAAAAGCAAAGAGGCATTAATAGAGATTCTTCAGCCATCCTAAGAATGCAAGACATCTTCATTAACAGTAAAGAGAAATATGGTCAAAGATTTAACCAAAGAATAAAAAAAAACCAGTAGTATATGCACCCGTATGTAAGACTTAATTACAAGTTAAACTAGCAAACCTTTACAGATTAAAAATCTATCCATTATGCTATTTTGTCTTTTGAAAAATTACGATTTAATTTTTCAGTATACAACCTATATTATAGAATATACTGAAGACTGAAGACCAGCCTTTATTAATGTGGTTTAGTACAGATGGCTATTTTGGGGGTTGGATTTTGAGGCCTCTGGTTTCTGGTTTTAATTCTAATAAAAAATCAAATTAAGGATAAAAATCCTACCAGGCATCCAATACTATACATCTATTAGGACGCTATACATTTAAACTGGATTTGGAGTTTACCTATCCCTTTGCTTTTTGTTGACTAATTGCAGATTTAGACTCTAAAAGTCTCAGTTGCAGTTAAAGACATCAGATTTTAAATACACCTGTCAAACTAAATATCACAGAATCTTTCAGAGATCTACAAGTCATTTAATCATATTTGTGCTAAAATGTTACAAATTCCATCCAGGTTTTTTTTTTTTTTAAACATAATACAGATGGAAACAAAACAAAACACCATCCTGGTCTTTAAAGGAAAGTGTGTCACTGAACAATGACTATAATAACTCAAAAATAGAGGGATATCATGTTCTGTTTATAAAGGTAAAGTATATCACAGTATATTCACTCTCGGAAGGCTTGGAAAATCTCTCAGGGTACTGTAAGATAAGAACAAATCCAAATAAGCGTGCCTTTTGTCTTCTGTCGCAGTTGATCTCTCAATCACACAAATCTCTTGCCCTTGGTTTCTCCAATAGTTTATTCACCAGACCACTCTATGGTTTGGCCCTCCAGTGTACAGGGCTACAAGCTCTTCCAATCTGGTCATCCAGCTTTAAAAGGGTTGTTTCAGTTTTTGTACACTTCACCCTTGGCAATCATGTTATTACAAAGACATAATTCTGCACAAAAATTAGAAAATCCAGGAAAAACAAACAAACAAAACAACCCATATTTCAAGGTCCTTGTCCATTTCAATTTTATTCTCAAAGTTAGCAAAACCTCTATCAATCCTTCATATTCTCTTGATATGAGAATTTTGCTCCAGATGTTGCAGAAAAGAACTGAGAACTCTATTTCCCTGCCTTTTATGGCTTTTTAGAAGTGGAGCTTTCCCCAGTACTCCAGCTTCTAACTTCTGTCTGCCTCCTTAAAAAGCATAAATGACTGGGCATTGCTACTCCATCCTTCCTCATACTGGAATAAGTCTAAAATGAATTAGCCAACACTTTTTCTGCTATGTATACACTGACTGCCTTTAAACTGTCATGGAACAGCCTTTCCATAGTTTTGGTGATTTTGAGGCATAGCTACTTGACTAATCTCACATCTAGGCTAGATTAATTCTGTAAGGCTGAAGAATGTTTTCTGCATCTCTCATATTTGAAGACCACAGTAAGGATTATTTGCAAATTCAAGTAATTATTGCCGCAACGGTAACTGGTTGGTCTGAAATATGTTACTGATTGAAAAGAAAGATGTCTGCTTCATCATTAAGGTTCTTTGGCAGGTAGGGGCTTACTTCCTTTGCTCATACGGAATACATAGGGAAGTGAACAGGCATATGTCTCCCTAACAGTTTTCACAATACTTAAATCCTATGAAACGTATTAAATTATTTCTGAAATATGATTTTAGAAACAAATCATTAAAACTGAATTGCAAAGCTCCTCCTTTACCAAAGGAAGAGGGGGTTTAGTTACTAAGGACGCTATCAAGCTCTACTGCTTTCAGCTAAAAAAAAAATAAAATATAAAAATATTTTTGTTAGCTTTGGGAACTTGCTTTTTTTTGCTTGAAATATACAGCATAAGCTTTGCATGACCTCTCATAAGACTTTTCAATCAAAAAAATAGCCTAGGTATTTTTCAGGGAATAACATTTTCTCATTTTTGCAATCAGAGATTATAATTCCCGGATAGAGAAAATGGCAATATTTTTCTTTCCATACAACATTAACATATTCAGCTATTTAGCTCTCACAACACCTCTTGGTCTAAAATCGTCTAAAATCAATAATGAATTCTTCAATTCACATGAATGCTTAGTAGTATGGTAAATACTGTGAAAACCATTTACTGAAGGAACTTGTAAATGGCTAATCCTAGTTCCATACTTTTTAAAGCAAATTCTAAAACAATGGAAAAACATCCCCTTCCAAAGGCATGCCTTTCAAATGTCACCCCTAGTTTTAAGCAGCTGTTTTATCACACAGCTGCTCAAAGAACCTTGTACTGGAATGTGTAAGCTACTCATTGCGGTAAAACATGGAAGAGTACCCATTTCAAATATACATGTAAAAATATGTTACTATGCACAAAATAAACTAACTGCTCCTGAGTTTAAGGATAGTAAAAATATCTTCTGCATCTGCACTGCTGATCACGTTTTTGCATTCCTATGCTAGACAGTTAAATTTATCAGTCCTTAATACACTTATTTAACATTGTTGGTGAGCTAAACAGTGCTTTCCAAAAGTCCATCTGAACTGGAAAGTCCAAAAAAAAAATAATAATACACAGGCACTGCCTTATTACATATATTCAAGAAACACAGGTGATAAAAGCACGTTTTTCTGAGACACGAGTTATTTTAAGGTCTGATTTCTTCCAACCCCAAGAATCAGATGGGCTGATTGAATATTTTGATTCAATATATTAATTCAATCTATAACTCAGGGGAATATTCTTGAAGAAAAAGGTTCAAAACTTTCCTTTTGTTTCACTATGAACACATAGGAAATGGGTCAGCCAATCCAATAATTTTATTTTTCTAATAAAAGAGACTCAGAATCACTGCACAGGAACTTGGAAAGGATTGTGAGCACAAAGTAAGTAAACTTAAATAAACTGTCTTTCTACAGCATAAACTAAATTCTAACAGTGGTGATTTATGAAAGATGGAATTCAGATCACACTACCACTTGTCTTTTCTATCCATACTCAACTTTTTTTCCTCCTGTAATGTTTAATATGAAAATCATAGCAAGTAACATTCGCAACATTCATAAAGATGATCTTTGGTTAGGACAAGAGTAGTACAAGGGGTAAAACTGAGTTCTGAAGGAGCCAGCCACAGTAGAGAAAAGACAAAAATATTTGACTAAATATCAACCAAATTAGTGGACCCCAAAACTGCTTCAGATTTTAGAAGCTAAATGGCACCCAAGTGGCTTCTCTAATATGTTGGGATTAGTTGGAAAATGGCAGAGGCATGGGAAATTAATTAGAGATTTGACACAATAATTGTAAAATTTAAATTCTATAGGTGAGTTTCATTAACTTAAATATGGGGAATTTTGTTGTTGTTCTGACATGCCACAACTGAAAAAGCAGGCAAGTGTAAACAACTACTGAAACAACTACTGCATTTTCAGAGCTAGGATAGCTAGCTAGACATTAGTTCCCTGCCAATAATATAATGTACAATGGAAATTCAAGAAAATGGCAGATTAATATTCCATATGTAAAATGAAACCAGAATTTATGCACAATATGAAAGAAAAGCTATGATCAATAGAGCTAAGTTAAGGCTCCTTCAATGTTTTGACTTCTCGCTCTCTCTTGTTATCCTAACCTTAGGTTTTACAATTTCTGGCATGAGAAAATAACTTTTGATCACTAACAACTCTATTTCTAATCAAACTAGTTTTATTCAATGAAGCTAAGTTTGAAATTCCAGAGCATGAAATTTAACTCACTAAAATTATTCAGTTCTCAAATTATATCCTCCTCAGGATGAAAAATAACTAGTTGAATAAGTGTCCATGATTTTGGTAGCAGTTTAAAAATGCAAACATAAAATAAATCGTAGATTGTTTTCAGGTGCTAGTTGGAAGCTTAAAGGCTACTTTACAGATCATGGAGATGGGAAATAAGGACTGATATGATAGAAATTGAATCATCTTAAAGTCTTACTATATAGCACACATCATCTGTTACCTTTTAACAGTTTTGGTAGAGTACATAGTTTACAGGTAGTAAAATTTACGTATGTATATTAAACTTCAGTTCCTACAGTTTGCCAGTATTTAAATATTCTGAGGGGAAGAGAGTGAAAAGTATGTGAGGTGAGCTGTGATAAAATCTATAGGAAAGGTAGAATGAAAAAAAAACCACAGAGAAAAGCAGTAGAAGAGACAGACCTGAGTTTCTTCTTCTCGATGATTCCACTTCTTCTGTGATCACATCGTGTAATGTACAGACATAGACAAAGGAGATGGGCGTGAGAGGATGTATTCAGAAGGTTAAAACTGACACTGAGGGAAAGGGCCAAAAGTTGGTTTAGAGAGAAGTCTGCAGAGCAGAGTTAGTAAATGGGAAAAAAAATAACACAGACACCAGAAGGAAAAAAAGAAAGCTGAGGAAGAAGTGGTTAAATTACTGTTGTTGAAAAAGAACAGTAAAGACAGGGTTAGTATAGGAGCTGAGGAAACAATAAAAGTTATAACTGACAGCAAAGTCAATCCTTGCAATGAAGCTGAAGAAAAAGCTGGATAGTAGAAGGTATGTTAACTAGCATAAACACTTTTGTTCATGACTATTCAACATTTTGGAATGTCATCTACTTGAACGCAAAAATTCTTTTTCAAGTATTGAACATTCACTTTAATGTCACCAATGAGAACTCTTATTAACAGATTTTTCAATTCTTAAATTATTGCAATTTATGCTAAACCAAACGTCACATATTCAAAATGAAAAACAGTTTGTTCTGGGTTGTATCTTTTTTTGTTTTTAAAAAGTATATACAAGCTCAGGAATTTCAGAATCCACATAACACACTCTGGAAAGGACTGCATTATTGTAACACTCCACCAACGGCAATATTATTAAGACCAAAATACAGAACGTGAGAAAAGCAAATATATAGCTATTAACTCTCATGGTCAAATCAGCAGATACTTTTTCAGAACCAAATGTCATCCTCATCTCATAGAAGTCTAGGTTACTACAAATGCATGCAAGTTAAATGCCAAAGCACTATCTCATTACTTACTTTATTGCCTCTCATTCAAAAACACACTGCCATTTCAGACATGGAGAACATCTGAGGGACAGTGTCATTCTCTGTACTGAATATCTATTTGTAGCAGAAGAATAGGAAGAATTCATCTTGAAAAGCAGTAATAATTACAAAGAACTGTGAAGCTACCACCACTAACAGAATGAATGCATTTTACCAAAATTCATCAGAAATAATAAATAAAAATATAACTTTGCAAGCCCTGATCTAATTTCAGCTTGTTCATGATTCATTAATACTGCAGAGGTTAGATTAAGAATTCTAGAAAAATTCATACACCACCAAAATATCCTATAATTTTACCCACATCTTACAGTCAATATTAAAATACCATGAAAAATGAAAAATGAGAATAAGCAACATAACCAAATGAGATTCAACACTAAACTACGTCTGATTACCACTGTGTTCTGTAGTTAAAAAAATTTATTCTATAGCTGGCAGATTATAATGTTCACCTACTATCAAATGCCAAAACTTTGTTGTAAACACAAGCAGCTTATAACATACATATTTAGAATGCAGGTTTAGACAATTAGATTACAGAACGCACGCACCTCAGTGCTATATATGAGAGATGTAATATGAAAGCATAGCTGGCTGGCAGTTCTGAGAACCGATGTTAAGTATTTACATGTTAAATAAAAGTAATGATGTATAAATGTCTTTTTAGAGGGGCATGTACAATAAATCCATGGGATTAAATACAAAAGAGCTACTTCTCCCTGGTGTATTCAGCTTGAATTCATATAGTGTAGCTGTAACTGATAGAACTCTTACCTAAATAAATCATCATTGCCACCAAAACCCAGCTAAAGTACTTAAAATTTTCTGAAAATGTTTTCCATATCTATGCCCATGAAGTGAATACTCCGATGTCAAGAGCAGTTATTAGAAAGTCTTTATCATGACCCCCTCATACTTATTTATTATTTTTAATATCCATAGCATATTATGCATAGCTTTGAGACATGTACTGCATTAAGATAAATCCTTCTCAAGAAATTTTCAAATCACATTATTTCCAAATTAGGAAAATGCCTGATATGGTAATGCAAAGCATTCTAATAGTGTCAGTGGAGCTCACCATGGACACAACTGAAAAACTGGGAAGCTCCATTTGAACTTTTTAGAATCAAATGACTAGTATTTAACTGAATATGAGTCACATGTACCAATACTTAAAAAAAATTTCTAAAACTCCTCATAGAAAGTATTTATGAAAAAAAATTACACATCAGTGGCAAACAAAAAGAATTTGTAAGTTGCAAATATTTTTCAGTTTTAAGTTTTTACTGATGAAATATATTAGAATAATTATAAAAGCAGTCAGAGAGTAAAATAAAAGATAATAGATATTCAACTGTTAACCCTTGAGATAAATGGCTTAATATTTTTAAATTAATTATTGCAAATATTAATGAATTAGTAGAAGTATCAGCATGGTAATGCACCAATTTCATTTAATAATGATAAGAAGAAAGTACTAACACACTGATTAATATAGACACAATAGCACTTATGTGAATCAATCTCTTCCTGATTCAGAAGTCATGCCATAAATCCCAAACCACAGTTTGAAAAGGTTTTGGCTATATAGCTTGTAATCCTCCAAAATAGATCTTTGTTGATACAAACACATTCAAATCTGATAAAAAAAAAATCACTAAATAAAATTCTATTAAATTTACATCATGGCAATAAGCAGTCTTCATTTGCATAGTTATAGCTTGGTGGTAGAACTGGCATTTATTTATTTTTTCATTGTGATGTATGAGAGTAGTATGCATAAGTTTATTATACGGAGATTTAGAAACAAATGGGGCTCTCAATGAATAAGCTTATGAAGTAAATGAAAATCGGGTATTTTACCACAAGTCTGAACAAAACAAAAAAGTATTATCTATTTTACCGTGCTTTGATGCAGAAGTTCTCATTGTAAGTAATGTGACTTATTAAAGAGAAGTATTTAGGAACTCAAGTTTTTTTAAAAAATGCAAACCTGCCCATCTGAAATTCTAGAAGCAACACAGGATAAATAGATGTAAATTAATTACTCTTACTTTCCTCAAGGCTTTTCTCAAATTCAGTTTTCTCCTTAAAAGCAAAGATCTTTCACTGTATATATGGTCTCGGAAATTTCCAAAACTAGTTAAAGGTGAGTTCTTTATCTTAAACTGTAAATCCACGCACACAAAATTGCAGCTATATACTGGACAGATGCTGACATTTTTCCTCAATAGTATAAGCAGAGGACTAACTAGAACAAGGAAAATACAGGGAAAACAGAAGCAAAACATATGATATTGCAATTACATAACACTTTATATATAATATACTCTCTACGGAATAGGCAAAGACAGCAAGAATAAAGAAAATGTGAGTTATTCATACTGAAAGATAAGGATAACAGAGAAGGTAGAAAACAACATACAAGAAGAAATCTTAAATATTCTCAGGAGCATGATCTCTATAAATCAAGTGAAACAATGTAGACAGCATTACTTTTTCATGTCTCAAGATAAACTAAACAAGGAATTTAGAGAGAGGTTTCATTACTTTGTTTCTCTGAATAAAGTTCACATTATAATTTTATAAGGAGAAAAAAGGCAACATAGTAACATTTCAAAATATTAATGACAACAGTTATGTTTGGGATCTGAAATACCATAAATCTTGAAAAGATAATAAATCTCACTTAATAGATGACTTAGGTAAACATCAACTACTTCAGAAAAGATACCTAACATCCTGACTACGACTACACCCTCTGCTGTCAAGTATAGATGAGATATCTTAAATCAGAGAACTCTCCATTTTAAAGCTATTCTCAACCTAATGATGTCAAGAACTTTCACCACCTACAGAATTAGATTATCCAGGAGATCGCATACTTAAGACTGCAGGAATACTTTCCAAAACACAAAAATGCAGTAAAAAGTAAAAAATATAAATATATGCAATAAAAAAATATATATAAAATGTTTAGACATTTTCAAGCCACTTCACTATGTTTCATCCACTGTAAATTATGGTAATAACCTGAATTAATGCAATTTGGCTACAGCACTGAAATGCAGTATTTGACTGCCCTATTCACATTGTGCAAGTCCCATCCAGAGAGTCTCCTTTTCTCTCTGGAACCCAATTCTTTGCTACTTTAGTCCAGACTAGGCATATTGTCTTTCAAAGTGGCAATGAAAGGAAATTTTAAAATATGCTAATACATGACAGGACCATCTGTTTTATTAATACTATTGATTAATCTTGAGATAAGTCCCTGGAAAGAGTGCAAACACTCATTTGTTTTCAATAAAACAATTATTCATGCCATATATTCAATCTACTTCACTTCTCACTTGTCACAGGTTAAAAAATCCTCATAGATTCAACATGTCTCTTTTTGTAAATTTTACCCACGTCAAGATTCCACAGCATGGTCATAAAATCTTCTGTACCTTCTTCCCCAGACTTTCCAAAGCACACTGAAAGTTATGTCAGGGCCATGGACTTTTTATTCCTCCCTTTCCCAATCCATTTCTGTTGAAAGTAAGTTTTCATCAACAAACATGAACTACTCCATGACTCCACTCTGCTCCTCTCCGTTTCACAAGTTGATCATTTTATACTAGCTGACTCCTTTAAAACTGTAAATTTCATTTATCCAATGCTCATGAGGTTATTTACATGAAATTCTAATGTGCTCTCTGCTCTCTGTGTCCTACCATTACTTTGTTTTTTCTAGCCTCATCCATTCCTTGTTTCTTACCATATCTCACTTTTTATAATTTTCTAACAATTGCACTTTCAATTCTGATTACAAACTTCTTTTAAAATAACGACGACTTTGTTTTGAATTTTTTTTATATTTTACTACTTCAGCTGATTCCATGGCAATAGATAACCTACAAAATTATACTCACATTAAAATTATTCCTGAAAGACTTTGTACAGTCAAGGAATACTACCCATGTGAGAGAGAGACATATATATTCCATGGATAAAACAAGCCTTCAAATTGAAAGCCAGTTTATGTATATATACTTACCATTTGTAATCACCCACTGCCTTTGTATTTTCTGATATGCTTAACCTACCATTGTCCTTTAAAACTTTAGTATTATATTAAAGAAATATGACTTTTCCCCAAATAATTACAAGGACACTCCATTTTTACTTCACTACACTCTGAGATGTATAAATCCATTTCAACTATTCTGTCTTTTTGGTCAATCATGGTAAAATATGTCAGCACTTTCTCATTATTCTGTTCTTCAACTGTTGCTGAGAAGTTAGAAGTGTCTGCGGCAAAGGTCAGATATTTGATGATACTGCAATCTTTCCAACCGGCAACAATAACAAAACTATTATAGGATGGTTTCCAGATAATAACCAGCAAATCTGATGTCTCCATGTAGAAAGAACAAGTGAAAATCAATAGTGTTTCCTTTGCTATCTCATGAGGATAGGTTTTGCACTACCTGTATCAAAGAACTGATAGAATTAAGTATCACTGCCTTGATATCCTAAACTATGTGTTTTTTCCCTTTAAACAATTCTGATGTGTTCAAGAGATATGAAGATACCAATCACTGTAAGAAAACTAATCTTATCTTTGTCAGTACAGAACACATTCCGCACTCATAGCCTACTTCTTTCCAACTTCTCATAAGGCCTCATATATGCAAATGCAAAGCCATGTGGAAATGCTTGCATTCTGTGCTGCTTTTTTTTCCTTTAGTCTTTTTTTTTTTAATTCACTGGCCAAGGAAATGTGATTAGAGGATGAGAATTTTATTCACTTTCTTTTATATGCCAGCAATTAGAGCTCAAGAGGCAGGGGTGCTGAAAATAGAAATGCTTAATAATATCAGATAGGAAGAAATAACTACTCCACATTCTCTTTGATGTGGTGGTGTCTCGAGAATGCAGTAGTCTCTGACAGAGTGCTGACACTGGAAGGGCACACACATTCAAGACATGGCTTGAATTTTGATGCTATGCTTACCAATGATTCTGCAACTTTACTCTTCCAATCCTTCAAAATCTTTGCATTAATACAACTGACTCTTCGGAAAATATGAACAGTAGTTTTGCAAATTTCCTCAGAACTGAAGAGATTACACGCACTGCTAATAAAACATGTTGATTTCTGATATTCAGGAGCACAACTTTATCAGCATCTTCTATTGAAAACCCTGAAACCATTTTACTACTTTATTTAATGTCCTTAAATTTTCCTCCGACAAATTTGCTAATCTCTTTTCTAGTCATGCATATTTCTGGAATATTAACGCTTCACATTATTCAATATTGCTGTTATTTTTTCTGTTATTTGGAATTAATTTTATTATCTATTTATGTTTTTATCTACAACTTGCCCACATCTCAGCTCTTCACTCAAGATATGTTACATGCTGATCCTGACTCTTACAAGCAGTGCTTGCTTTTCCTGTAAATTCCTCTGAAGCACTAAATAGGGAGAAGGAAATGCAACTGCAGGTCTGGCATTTTGCAATTAGGTTCCCTAATCTCTGTGTTACAGAGTCAGTTCAGATTTTGCTGCTCTTCTGCAGTTCTGACTTTAACTTTCAGCTGCGAAATAGTTGAGTTTCAACAGAAAACTCAGAAATGATCAGCATGTGAGACCCCGCCTGCAGTACTGTGCTCAGCTTTGAGTCCCCAACACAAGAGGGACATGGCCCTTCTTGAATGAGTCCAGAGGAGGATCACAAAGATGATCTGAGGGCTGGAGCACCTGTCCTGTGAAGACAAGCTGAGAGAGTTGGGCTTGTTCAGCCTGGAGAAGACTCAAGAGAGACCTTACAGCAGCATTCCAGTACCTAAAGGGGGCCTACAAGAAATCTGGAGACGGACTTTCTACAGGGGCATGTAGTGATAGGACAAGAGTGAATGGCTTTATCCTGAAAGTAGGCAGATTTAGATTAGACAACAGGAAGAAATTCTTCACTGTGATGGTAGTGAGACACTGGCACAGGTTGTCCTGTGCAAGAGAAGCTGTGGATGCCCCATCCCTGAAAGTGTTCAAGGCCAGGTTGGACAGGGCTTTGAGCAACCTGGTCTAGTGGAAGGTACCCCTGCCTGTGGCAGGTGAGTTGGAACTAGATGATCTTTATGGTCCCTTCCAGTTCAAACCGTTTTATGATACTGTGATTCTATGTAGGTGAGCCAAAACTGAGAATACAGCATTAATTTAGGAAGTGGCACAGTTGGCCAATCATGTAGACTTTAACTTGCGTGACTGGGATAAGGGCTGTTGTTAGAGTAAGACATCTAATATGCTCATTAGAGAGAGATTTGCAGCCCAAAACTGAACCTAAGTATTCTTGAACTGAAAAATTCCCATCACTCAAGTAGGTCCTTTAAATAGAGGATGAAACCTGCAATGTAAAGCTATCTTTTTTCCCCTTTCCTTTCCCTGTCATTCTTTTCCTTCCCTTCCTTTCCCTTTTCCCTCCACTCTTTACAATGCGTTTACCACCATAACATTACAGTGCCTTTTGCAAGTGCATATATCAATGTGAGTAGGACTTTTTATTGTCTGATTCAGAGGAGAGAACAGTAATATCATAATCATAATCATCATCATTATGACCAGGTTTAATTTTATTGTGATGCATTTGTAGGAACAAAGATGAAGAATAATAATTGTACATCACATTTGGGGCATGCAAAGTTTTCTGATAGTTATAGTTTCAGAAGAAATCTGTTCATGTACAGGACAGACGAAAGAAGAGTTCTCTTAGATTTGAGAACTTCAGATGACAGAAGTATAAAATGCAGCTTGTATAAAAAATTGCATTGAAACATTATTTCTGCCTTGTGTGATGGTGCAAGAAGGTTTCAGATTCAAGACTTTAGAAGTTAACTTTCCCACCATACATGCAGTAGATACTTTGGTTTGATCAACTAAATAAGAATCAGCATCTCATACTTGGACTCCTTAGGCTTGCACCCATAGATAAATCAGAACAAAATTCAACACTAAAGAGCAAGGTAAGTCTAATACTGTGCCAGAATATTTCTAATGCATGTGCATTCTAACACAACTGTTTACAAAAGCAGATCTATTTTGACTATTCTAGAACAGAAATATGTAATCTAGATGGTATCTACATACTAAAAATTTCACACCAAAGTGAAAAAAATAAGGTACGTCAAGCACACACGCATTACAAAAGCATGAAATGTGTTTTTATAGTCTCATGCTTTCATGTGGTTTTCCAAACCCTGACAAACCTGGCTCAGAATGGTGTTTCTTTTTCGGCAATGGTTTGTCATCAGTTATTGTACCATTCACCTTTTTCTGCTGGTCCTCCCATGTAACTTCTAGCATAAACCAAAAACAAAAATCAGAAATATTATGTAACATTATAAGACACCTAATATTTGGGACAACTTGACCTAAGCAAATATACTATCATTAACATGGCAAAAAAAAATAATTAGTTCTTTAACAAGGCCTGTGGTGAATAAAATTAGTAAACATTTTAATAATGAAACAGGACGTACTACACAAAAACTAATATCTATATGGTGTGCCAAATCTTCTGCTTTCTGATATTTACGAATTGGAGTAAACCCCACAATTACTTCTTCAAGTTTTCAAAGTTAGCACTCTATATGCTATAGCTTCTTATGGTATCTTTGTGTTACTGTAAATAAAAAAGGAAGTTTAAAATATTTTGGTATAAAGCTTTTGCAAACTTATAAATAAATAAAAAAAAAAGTGAGCCAGCAATCATGTATGATTACTCTAAATTAGCAAAGTATTTTCAACAATGTATTGTTAACCCAAAACAGGGGTTTATTTACTTTTCTAAATCTGGGATTTGATTTAAATTCAGATTTTAGTTTAGGCAGATTAATGTAGCCAATAAAAACTCACTTGCTAGTTATGGATCCTCTATTCTGAAACAGGCATTTCTGGCCTAACTGCTTAGAAAAGTACAGATTCTATACCATAAGCTCCATTTTGCTTTGGGCTGTTAAGAATCTGCTTATTTTGCTGACCGTTAAGCGCAAAGCTCCTCACAGCCATCAGGCACAGATATAACCACTTTTATGGGCACAGAAATAGCCAGTGATATAGGAGAATACGATAGATATGGAATAAATTTTCAACCTTATAAATTAAAAATAGATATAAAGTGATAACAGCCTATGAGTTCATTGTTCTTTTTCTTTTTTTTTTAATGAAGGAGGTTTAAATGAGACTGATGGGCATCTGGCATTCAAAATGTAAACATGAAAAATGTTATCTCTAGGCATCCTGTAGCCTTCTTATCTGTGGCTGTTGTTCTTTAAAAGGTGGCTTTGATTTTTGCAATTGACGGAGTTGTAGGGTTCAAGTAACACATCAATAAATAATGATTTAATGACACCACAGATACGCATGCTAGAACAGCAACTGTCATCTTTGAAGCACCATGTGTACTAAGTACTGAATAAGAAACTTAAAAAAAAAGGATTCTGTTTCCAATCTGTGGAAATAAATTCTCCCTACAAAGTATTTTTTCCTACAAAAATATGATTCTTTTTCTCTATGAAAATACACACTTAGCAATAAAATATATACTGATGACATCTATGTTTCCTTTTCCTTGAATGAATCCAAAAGTGTCTTCTTAACACACACACACAAAATTCAATGACCTTAGTAAAGCTACCTTTGACTTTAAGGATAGTCAGTGCTAGGAAAAAAAACAAACCAACAAACCATTGGACAACCATTTTGGTCAAATAGTGGAGACATTTAAAATAAGATAAAAAGTAGGCAGACAATAATCTCAAACACAGGATTTTGTCAAGATCTATAATGACCAGTCTAAATACTGAAGAATACCAGGAAGCCCAGAGTGATTCTGATGCTAGCTTTATCACAGTCTTACAAGACAAGGACCTTCTCAGTCAGTTCTTTCTCAGAACTCCTGATTCAGTTCTGAACCTAAAAACTGTAATTTGCTCAGTCATCAAAATCACTTATCATACCAAAGTTCCCTAGCAAAAGAAAAGCTTTCCTAAGCCTTGCTAATTTTTGAGAACCAAGTATCTAGAAAATAGCTAATCCACTTGGGAGAACTCTAGAAGTGTTTCTATAATAACACTTGAATTGACAAACACAACCAAATGAAACCGAAATACAAATATAACTGTTTGAATAAATACTTTTTGCCATATGTTAACCTTAAAAAAGCCAACCAAACAAACAAAAACACTATTCTAAAAAGCAAGACGGGCTACTTTTTTATGTTTATACTAGAAGCGACAGAATGAGCAAGTAAACAGTTTCAGACTTCCAATGACATCCTTCTATGGCTTTAGTTATTCTTACAGCATGTCAGCATTAAATGCAAATGGCTGTTTAATTTTATTAGCAGTTATGTGCAACTCTTAGATTGAGTAAATGCAGATGGGAGATGCAGAGCTCAGGTGAAAAGACTTCATTGATTTCTAAACGATTTCAAGAGTTTGGCTACCAATGTTTATTATTTCAACTCAGAAATTAAAATAGATACCTCTGTTAGATTTATTCTAACATTCAACCTCTTCTTCACCATTTTTTAACACCATTTTCATCTCTAAGCTCGACAAAGCTGAGAAAATAGGTTGATAAATGAGTACTTTTTGTTTGGGAACTAATAAGAGATGCAGATGAATAGACAAAATGCTGAATGTCAGGCTGCCTGTCTCCTCCTTGGTTAGATAAATAATGCATTATAATCTCTAAATTATTAATTATTTTTTTTATTTTTTTATTTACCAAGGCAAAGGGCTGCCATCTATGCCTTTAAGTAAGGCAACTTTTGTCAAGTTGTGAATATTCGGAAAGAAACCATACAGTTTTCTAATTCATCATTCACCTCTTACCACTCTCACTTCCCATACAAATGAGCTTCAATCTGTCTTCTGTTGTGATAATCAGTTTTGACATGTATAAAGAAAAGTGTAAACTGATTGAAATGTATACAAAAAGACCTCTTCTAGATTATATTAAAAATGAGCATCTTGAGTCAGAATATTTTAGGTATCTGATAGATCTCTAAGGCTAGAAAGATTTGACAGATGCACTGATCCAGATTTTTTCCATCAGTGTGAAAGGTACAATCTTTAGATGCAGTTGTTTTATTATATGCAGTTGTTGCACCTACCCCCTGCACTGACCACCACAGTGATTTATGGAGCTCGGCTCTCCCATTGCATGTCATGATGGCACTTGGTTGTGTGCCATTCCCTCTTGAAAATGATGCTCCCTTGTGCTGCTTGGGAGAGGGGGTTGGCACACTCACTACATCTAGCGTGAAGTACAACCTCAGCATGTTTTACATTTTTGTTTAGAATATTCAATATGAAATATATGAAAATAATACATGAGAAGAATATTTGCACATTTCCAAATACTTAATTTCTAAACATGTCGACTTAGCACCAGGAATGCTGCAGTTTAACTGGAATGATGCTGCAAACCAAAGTACAAGGTGATGCAGCAAAATATCAAATGCTAATGATGAGTTCTATTATGCAAATAGTATTTCCTTCCTTTCTTTTCTCCACACTATAGAGAGTAATAGCCCCTTTCACAATTACCCCTTGCTTGCAAAATTTTATATACTTTCTCTTTTATTTCAATTTGCATTATTTTTATTAAATCCACTCATCTTTTACATTCTTTTCAGCACCTAAAATTCCTGTGAAGCAATTTTTATCAGTGCTTTTCTAGTTTTAGACTTTTAATTAGGTTGTCATAAAGTCTTAACTTTTTCATTGGGACATGATTTAGTCATCTTTTCCTGCAACTGAAAAGTCCTCAGATCTTCTTTCTATTTTTCATTTTATAAGATGAATGTCAGAAAGGAATTATGTTCTTAATGCACAGTGACTACTGTGAAAATGAGTCACAAGTGGATTTGGCTAGTGCTTCTTAAACACAAGGCACCACAATAAGCCACTAGAACTATGGGATTAACTGTCAAAAGCTGAGAAACTATGCTTTGAACAGGATACTCAAGATGTTTAACTCATGCATTAAGAACACAAGAAGAATATCTAAAGATGTAAAAAAGGATAAATTCATGTTATGGAAATTTTAATTTACAAAACAAAGTCCACAAGAAAATTTTTAAAGCATCACCAGTCTGAAGAGTTTGCACAAGGAGAAATATTCGCAGCTGTGTCAAATCTCTATTATGGGAAAGCAAATGGCTGCAAGTCATGATACATTAATTGTCCCAGACATACTACATTATATCTGGAATGAATCCAGTCCCACCTTGCACCACCAGCATGCTGCTAATGGCATCAAGGCCAGCTTTAAGTGACACTAAGTCATCAATTAAAGGCTTTATGCCAGGCTGCTGCTGCTCCTACATCAGAGGGAACTTCAGACGCCTCAGGAAAGAGCAAGGCCTCCTGTCTCTCCAGGTGATACAGCACAGCAAATATGAAGACAGAACTTTTTAGTTTCCTCTTTTATCATAGTAATAGTTGATTTACATTTTGATGCTCAAAGCATTCATGAGAGACTCGATGACTTCCTCCAAAGAGTGAAATGAATTTGGGTCTGCATTGCCCTAAATGTTGGTAAAGTTTGGACAGCATAAAGGTAGGGACAGCACCTCTCCCTTTTGTGTTTTATGAGCACACACAGTATCACACAGAATCCCAAGGGTTGGAAGGGACCTCAAAAGATCATCTAGTCCAACCCCCTGCAAGAGCAGGGTAACCTAGAGTCCATCACACAGGAACTTGTCCAGGCGGGCTTTGAATATCTCTAACGTAGGAGACTCCACAACCCCCCTGGGCAACCTGTTCCAGTGCTCTGTCACTCTCACAGTAAAGAAGTTTTTCCTGATGTTCACATGGAACCTCCTATGCCCCAGTTTACACCCACTGCCCCTTGTCCTATCACTGGACATCACTGAAAAAAACCTATCTCCATCATCCTGACACTCACCCTTTACATATTTGTAAACATTGATGAGGTCACCCCTCAGCCTCCTCTTTTCCAAGCTAAAGAGACCCAGCTCCCTCACCCTCTCCTCATAAGGGAGATGTTCCACTCCCTTAATCATCTTTGTGGCTCTGTGCTGGACTCTTTCAAGCAATTCCCTGTCCTTCTTGAACTGAGGGGCCCAGAACTGGACACAATATTCCAGATGCGGCCTCACCAAGGCAGAATAGAGGGGGAGGAGAACCTCTCTTGACCTACTAACCACACCCTTCTAATGCACCCTAGGATGCCATTGGCCTTCTTGGCCACAAAGGCACATTGCTGGCTCACGGTCATCCTCCTATCCACCAGGACCCCCAGGTCCCTTTCCCCTTCACTA